TGAAATAGCCAATTTCAATTTTCCACATGAATAGTGACTACAGCTAAAAAAATATTCTTAGATTTATTATTGTTTTTCCGATTTCATTCAGATTTTCACTAATCTGCTTCATAGATTTGTCTGCTTTCTTTTAGAACAACATGCCAATTGGTTGGATTTCCCTTTAAGGTCCAATCTAGGATGAGAAAAAAAACCTTGCATAGACATCAACAGCCTGCAATAAATAGAAGAAAGATATCTTCACTCTTATAGACAATGCTAGCACATTTTTTATGAAAGGCAGAGGTAAATTGAGGTAACAGGTTTCATAAAGCTCTCTTTTTAAATACAATATGTTAACAGATGAAAATCCTTTAAAATAACAATAAAACAATCTCTCACTACAAACCAACTTCATAATAGTCACAACCAAGCTTAATGCATCAGTTCTGAATGTAAAACACACTTCTTCATGCTATTCCAAGATGAAAAAGATTCTATACAGGGTAAGCCTATAATTTGTAAAACAGTAAATTACAGATTGTTTACATTCTCCTGTTTAGATTTTCAAAGGGGTATTGTACAAGAGAAACTACGAAATGTAATAAATTATAAATCAGTCATGAACTTTACCATGATAGTGTTGAATAAAAAACCAATCACTCTGGATAAAAGGTTACAGATCAGCTTCACTTAAAGATAAACTTGAGTTCTGGTAATGCGATTGCATTGTGAAAGAAAAGGTGTGGAATGGATCAGAAAAAGTGATCATATAGCATGTAAGTAATGGTAAAGTAACAATCACTTACACAGAAAGATGTATATGGAACAACACACATTGTGTCGGGGCTAGTACTACCCTGATTTCCTGATCTTTCTATGCTCATTACTCAGCCAGTATACATTTTCTTCCAAAATTGTTTGGCACATGACATTTATTTGTAATCTTGAACATTCAGTGTAAGTTTCGTTAGATTCTGTGAGAATTCATTTTCTTTTTTTACCAGAACTCAAGTTTATCCTTAATTTGCCTGTACAGGAAGATTGTATCTTTCTTTGAGAAGACGTTATGCTGGATGGTCATGCTTCAGTTGAAAGCAATTAGTATTATCTCATGGTATTTGGCCCGGGCCCCCCCCCCCCCACTCTGAGAATGGACGGACCCCATACGTGTTACCAAAATGTCCTTTTCGTAACAAAAGAAAAAGGTCGACCCGTATTGACTTTACACACCGGACTTTTGCTGAAAAGGGGGGGGGGGGGTCGCTTGGAACATGCATATATGCGTACCCTAAATAACACTGAGTGGGGGGCCGGGTATTTGGTCTCATAATTATATAAATTACTATACTAGATAAAATTTATGTATGTATAATTGACTAGATAATACTGAAGTCATCATTATTCCTTTAATTTATCTTATTATCATTTTAATATTTAAAATTCACGAATGTCCTAGATGTTTAATGTGAGTTCCATGTGCAGCAAGGTCTCCTTTTTCATTAAAGATGCGGGCAGTAGTGTATGCTACTGATCTTCCTTTCCTCATAACTTCTCCTTCTAAAGTGACTTTGTCCCCAACCTTCAGAGCTTTCATGTAACTGCAAATGGAAAAAAAGATGATAACAAAGGAGAATAATGCAACATCAGAACTTTCTAGTTTCCTTCAAAAGTAATCGTTGCTATGTTATTACTCTTATTACGAACCCTGCCTCTGGACAAATCTCCTATCCTAAATTTGGTATGCATCTTTATCACGTCACAAAATATACAGACTTTCATTACAATATGAAGAAAAACAAACACTAGCTATTAAAATTAAATTAGACTTCAATAATTTAATAAAAAGTGCTGAACATTTAAAGTTGTCTCCACATGTTACAGTAACAGTCTAACAGACAAAGGGACAGTCCTGTAAATTGGATAGGATTACATGTATAACAAAATACCTCTTATCTATTTCACAGAAAATTCTGTACTTACCAAGGCTCTCCAGTTATTTGGGTAAAAAATGCCTCGACCAGCATCATCCGATTATGTGGAGAGTACGGTTATTGTTTAAAAGCCGTCTGTACTAGTTTGGCTAGGAGGGATTAGACCACCCAGGGTGATCACTGACAGGTGGCTATCTCATCAACTCAGGTCTCAATTGACATAAGAAAAAGAGGATCATCATCATGGGGGCCAATGGTCACCGATTACTTGTTTTTTATACAGAGGGAGCAAGTAGCTCAAGTAGTACAGTGGGCCTTTAAAGGACATGATTATGAACAAAGAAGGCAGCTTACTTTACACTGAGATTAAGGCTGACACCAGGGCGGGAATCTTCTTCATCTACTATGAGGGCTAGAGATGTCATGAAATCAACAGCTGTGGCTGTGAATCCTCCGTGTAGAGTCCCAAAGTGATTGCAGTGCTCAATTTTCACTACATATTCTGCCGTTACTTTGTTTGGAGTTGCAGCAACAAGTTTTAACTAGGAACAAAAAAGGAGATTAATCATTAATATTACACCAACAAAAAATAGAAAAAAAACTTTCCAGCCCCCCCCCCCCTTCTCAAAGCTCAACCTGATTGCCAAACAAAATAGATAACAACATCAAACTACTTCCATCATAATGCTCTAATTTCCATAAACATTCATTGAGGTTAATAATTTTATGCTCAGCCTCTCATCCACACTCCCCCCTCCCCCCCTCAAAAAAGAAGAAATAATAATGATATAGCAAATAAATGAAAAAAATAGAGCCTACCCGACACTAATAAAATATGAAATCAATACTATCGGAGGGGCCAACACTTAGCCTTAGTCACAATTCCAATTGATTTTATAAAAAGTAATTTAAGGAAAACTGCAATTATTCAAATGAATTAGGAATTAAAAAAATGAAAATATCATCAGGAAATAAGAGATTTACAATACTTCAGAATTTTTGAAGATTATACCATAGAAATACTTGTGAAATGAAATTGTGAGTACTTTATTTCATGACCAGTGAATCAGTTTTGTTTTAGAGATGGATACTCCCGGATATTTTCATTTGATAGTTTATTAAAATACATCCTTATATTATTCTTAGGAAAAATAAGACTCTTTGAAACTTTTGTCCGATGTTTCAGGCTTCAACAAAATATTAAAATGACAAAACTTCAACATTCCAAACGCATGTTTTAACCCGTTGACTACTGAATTGTATAGGTCCCATAGGCTTAACACAGGGACCACCAGGTTCCCGTAAGCAAAGGGTTAAAATATTGAGATAGAATTTATCTCACAATTAACATGGGACTGAACACTAGAGAATATACTTCTGACTCTGACTGTGGCTTGCCTTCCATGGCAAACTAGCTATTATTACTAACCATACCTTCAAGGATTTTACAATGTGGAAATAAACATGTATAATCAGTTTAGTCAAGTGGAAACAGCCTTATACATATAAGCGGTGTGGAATCAGTCAGAAAAAATTGATAATGTACAGTATGTAGCTAATAAATATTGGTGTGTACTGCAAGGTTCTGGAGTCATCGAAATGATACAGAATCTTTTTGCATATATTAAATAACAATGAAAATGCTCACAATTATTTTGTACCTATCCCCAGAAGTTGAAGAACTCAACCTTCTCTTTACCTTTACCTTTACCCGAGATTCTGGAAGAATGCTGTGTTCTCAGCAGTCAGGCGCGGGCTTCCAGTTCAATTTCATTTTCTAAAGATTTTAATCTTTAGACTTTGAATTTACTGTTTTAAAATTGATAATAATCGTTACATTGAAGGTTTTCGAGCAAAGAATTCAATCTAACCCTCTTTATGCGACGATACAAATTAAATCAATTTTCAAAATTGATGCACCTTTGCTTTAAAAACCTTTAAATCACAAATTCATAAGGCCATGCATACATATGCACATCCCGCAAACACTAGTCACGTAGAACTTTTGCTTACCGGTACATTTAGGGCATAATGGCCGCTCAAAATGGCCGCTCGGTACATTTTCCCTGACAGTCGAGGCTATTTTTTTTCAAGATGGCCGCCGACAATTTTTTTTTTTTTAAATCAGAAATAGAGCCATTTTAGCAGTGTTCTTTATGTTTTTTTTCTTTCAAAAAAAAAAAAAAAAAAAAAAAAATAACAAATAACAAAAAATAGGAGGCGGCCCCCAAAAAGGAAGTGGGCAGGGACGATCAACATGAAATCAATTTTACATGGCCTTAAGTTTATGGTCTTAAGTAACTTTTTTTGAAGTCTGAACAATTTTCATTTCCATCATAGATCTAGATCTATTTAAGGTACAAAATGGAAATTTATTCTGAAATGTTTGTTGATTTGTGCGTCAGTTATGGCTTACATTCTAACAGTTAGATCTAGGTCTAGAAATCTAGATCTAGATCTAACTGTTAGACCTAACTTTTTGTTAGTCTAGTCTTTAGATCTAGGGTCTAGACTAGATCTAGACTATGTGAGAAGTGCGTCACCTGTTTGAGACATGGCTTGACATGTCTTTGCATTATGTAATATTACGTATTGACTAGCTATTGCCATTGCCATTGAACTTATGCTGCACTTATTTAAGTTAAGTAGGCCCTCTCTCACTAAAATTCGAAACCACTCTAGCGGATCGGCCAATGGCACGTGTTAATTATAATATCACTTCAAATTGACACACACAAATTGTAACGGGTAGGACTACACTTTCTCACCGAAGAAAAAATATTGTCAAATCCCTTCGATTTTGCACAAAACTTCAGGACGTCTGCCGCCCGCTTCATAGATCCGTTTAATGACATCTTTCGCTAGAATATATTATGTCCAATGAGAAAAAGAAATTCAAAGCGAATATGCGTTGAAAACCAATAATTTTAGCATTGACTGTTGCAAGGCCTAACCTTTGCTGCATGCTGGAATGCTGATCAACTAAATTTCGAGAAGAAACTCACATTGGCTTTCCATACACTTACTGTATGCACATTCCGCGTACCGTCAAATGCGACGGAGAAGGGATTTTTCCCCTGATCCATACCGGTATGTGCAATGTCACAACACTACAGCTCGGCCGGAAGAATTCCACGTAAACCCTTCGCATCTCTGCAGGTAGGCCGTGTCATGTAGGTCTAGGTAGCGGATACTAATAGTTTACAAACATTTTAAAAATCCATCGTGCGTGTGCACCTATCGACTTGAGTGTAGAAAACGTATTAAAACGCACTAGACGTCGACCACATGCAGTGACATGGCCATGGCATGCACAGTGGATGGGTCGCCATGTAGGGTGACACAGCTCAGCTCGCTCCGGAGCGGGGAGTTAGGGGGTGGTTCCGAATTCCGGCTCTCGTGGCTCGCGGTGGCTGCTTGGCAAGGATTTGGTTTAACAAAAAATGATTTCTTAATCTTATGTAAAGATTCAAGTCTGAAGATGTTACTTGGCCTGTAATTTTTGTAGTAATTCAATCAATTATTCATACGAATCAATAGTCATACTCGTGGTGGTCAGCTCAGGCACGTAGCCAAAGTTCGATGTTTGGGGGGCACATAGACCTACATCATACATGTAATCGATTGAGGTAAAAAAAAGGGATCTAAAAAAGTTCAACCGATCTTGGACATTTTAGGGAGGCACATGCCCCCCCCCCCCCCCCCCCATGGCTACTTGCCTGCTCATGGTTATAGATCTAGTCTAAATGTTAGTCATATAAACGAAATCAAGATGTCAATTGCCCCAGCCCAATTCATTGCAATCATTAAAATAAGAAGCAATATTCCAATACTTCATCAGGATTAATGGATTTCCCATAATTTTCAGGCTGAATTGTCAATTGATTGTATGGTACTGCTACATGTATTTCCTTGCAATTGGGTGTCATCAATTATCACAAAATTAAAGATGGAGTGAATTCTAGTGAGTTTTTGTACAGTGTGCATGTGATAAAATTTTGAGAACCAATAGTATTGATTCTCAAAATTGTATAATACTGACGATAGAGGTCAGAGGATGTTCATGACACACAGTTATGCTGCTGCTATATGCTGGAGTGCAAAGTCCAACACTGCAACTGCTTCATGTGAGAAAATTTAACTTGAACCTCATTTAGGCTTAGCAATATAGTTCATCTAGGTTCAAGTTCAAAATATTAATAAATGTATATAGATCTCATTGTATCTTGTTACAGATGGTATGATATGGTGACATGTCACAGAGCCAAACATGGATAGCCCAAAGCAAGTCCCGCCTCCTTGGAAAGCAGAACAACCCGTAACGGAGCTCAGCAACAGAAAGAGCAAGAACATTGACACTGCCACCGTACCAGGTAAAAATGTCAGAGTTAAAACTGTTGGAGCTAATAAAGATGCCACAGGGTATTAAAAAAATGTCAGAGGTAAAATTAACAGAGTTAAAATAATGCCACAAGGTAAAATTGTCAAGAGGTGAAAATGTAAGATACCAGAAGTAAAAATTACAAAAAAGTCACTGCTACAGCGGCACAGCCAAGGGTTAATACATACAAACATCTGATTGTTATCAACTATAGTCACACCTACTCAAAGGTCAGGAGTGTGTGGGGCTGAGTAGAGCAATATCACCACTTTCCAAGTATTAGCAACCCCCAACCCCCGATCTATGACTTTGTGTACATGTATTACATTCTTACCTCTGATTGCTGAATAAATTTATTCTCAAGATTCTTTTGGTTTTTGGAATGTTTTGGGATAGTTTTCATTTCTGAGAATCCAAGAATATATAGCGATGCTGTATCCCTTCTCTGCAACTAGTCTCATCATGTCAGTAACCACCCCCCCCCCCCCCCTTGTAAGAGAAAAAACGCTGAATTTAATAAATGATGATGATGATGATAAAATGTAAAAATCGATTTATAAATGCTTGTTTGAATGTCCATTTGCACGGTAGAGCGGATTAGGGATTATATAATCAACAATATATTCTTCATAATGATGCGCCTTGTGTTTTGTTTTAGAAATCATCAATATACTGCATGACTGTGAGGAGGAAATGTTTATTGGTTGGCAAAATTATCAGGTTAGCATGCTTAACAGTAGAGTGAAATAAATATTCATTATATTTTGGAAAATTCTTTGACAAGCCATATAAAGAAAAAAAGTGATCACATTCTATTTGGTGCCTTTTCACTCTTAAAATCTCAAGCAAGGAAAAATAAGATAGTTAAACAAAACCCAATGTCATGGGTTCTTACAATTTTTTGGTTGCCCCCTTTTTTCAAAATTTGCTACCGGTGAAGGAGTAGGCCTGAATAATTTGTAAGCCTGTTTTCTTTTTTTGTATGACTTTTTTTTACTTCCTCAGAGATTGCCACTGTTTTTCTTACCTTATCTTTGTTACTTAAGTATTTTTGCTTTTTCTTCTAATTTAATTCTACGGGTTATAGTCTTCTCTTAATCAGAACACTGTGCGCTTAGAAACATCAGTATTAAGCGCCTAATAAATGTTATGTATTATTATTATTATTAAAATAAAAGGCTTCAAACTTGTTAGAATGAATATTTAATGTTAAATTATTTTAACCTCTATTTTTAATGGCAGCTACCTTCATTTCTTTTATTCATGTGTGTTATATCAACATTTTAGTGTTCTTTATTTTTTCTTCCACTTTGCATTCACTATATATATGTTATTCATTTAGAGATTACACGACAAGGATTTTGTGAAGAAGCTCAGTGAGGTGTCCAAATATGCAGCAGCTCTCATTAAGGTAAGTCATACAAAGTAAAGCGAGAGTAAGGTAACAACAAAACTGTAGTCCATCTTTTCTGTCACCATTTAAATAATATATATCATTCTTGTACAGCGAATATCAAATTATGATATAATGTCTCCATGCGCTTCTGAAGGACTTTGAAAAGTAATTTCGAGTTGATGACATCTCATAACAGATGTAATTGATTTTTCTTGTTTTTGGAAACTACAAACAAATTAAAGTGCCAGATTATTGTATGCTTTTATCTACGAGTTGTTCAGGATTACTTTTTAAAATCTCACATGTCTCTTTTCCTCTTCTTTTTCATTCAGAATTCAGCTGATAGTGCCATCATCCTGAGTGGCTGTGGAACTTCAGGAAGAATCGCCTTCTTTATTGCTGTAAGTGCAATAGACTTCTAGTATCTTTTTTATCATTAAAAAAAAAATTAAACAGCGTAACTCTGCCAGTATCAAAACTGTTTTACTGAGAGACCCTGTACAAATTATAGGTTACAAATACAGATTAGATTGAACAAAGTTAAAATACATATGTACCATATCATGAATTATTTGTTTTTATTTATTTTATACACCATGATATAAACATGAAAAAAAAAATGTTATTGTTGATAATGGGATTATTTGATTTCTTGTAAACAGGATAATACAAATAACCTTAACTCATTATTTCTCCATAATTCCAAAAGCGAAGACCAATTTGGTGTTCTGATAGACCCCAAAATGTACTTTGAGCAGTTCGTATTTAAAATGAAGATTGCCAAAGCTGTTGTCTTGTTAAACTTGAAGGTTTTTTTTGTCTTGAAAATTTTACATGTTTGCATTCCAAGGTTTAATACCCCCCCCCCCTGTATTATTATCTTTTTATGCAGACCAAGATGAACAGCCTGCTGAAGGAAAGGGGATTTCCCCAGTGCTTTGATTACATCATCGCTGGTGGTGACAGGGCTTTGACGCATTCTGTTGAAGCATTTGAAGATAGTCCAGAGGCAGGCAAGGATGAACTAATCAAGGTTAGAACGTCAGAGTCATTAGGCCTGTCTCCATCAGCTCAAGTTTGCCAAATAACCCGCTATTTTATAACTATCCTGATCGCAAATTAATCAGTTAATATGTGACTTCATCAGCCCGCAGTTGCAATTAGCGGGAGATTTGGTCGAGAAAATATGCTGAGAAATGTTGGTCTTGTTTCCAAAATATCCCGCTATATAGGAAATAGCGGGCTAATTCCCGCCCGTCCGAGCTAGTTTGTAATGAGCCTATCAGTCTGGTGAAGACGCAATTTCGGGCTTCGGGATAATATCCAGAGTCTAAAAATAGCAGGATATTTGGCAAACTCAAGCTCATGAAGACAGGCCTTTTGTCTTATATTATTACAAAGCTACTAAACAGCTTAGATAAATCACTTGCAAGTCACAGACAAAATTATTCTGCATCAGCATCTCAGAGTTTGTGTGCCTGTCATTTGCAAAAAAGTATCTGTATTCTAAAATGTTATTCCTATTCAGCGATTTAGACTCTTGGTAGCTAAAAGTTGAGTCTAGTAATGATACATGCATGTACTTTGCTTAACAAACAAGAGAATTTGTTATAAACATTGTAGCTCTTATTATAAACTGTTAGTATTTGTTCTATATGAGGTACATGTTCATGTATGTGCTTTCATTTGATCTGCAGGTCTCTAAAGGAAAGAGGAAAATTCTTTTCATTGGAATTTCATGTGGGCTCTCAGTAAGTATGTTGGATGTCTGTATCAACATTTTCTTCAGGCCACTCACTTTTAAGTTTAGAATTAGGGTTGTAAAGGCTTCCAAGCTTCATTGTAACATTTTCTCTCCCCCTTCCCCCTTTCTACTCATGAGCAGTTGCCCTGTAACATTGTGAATGTATGGTTTTACAAGAGGTTTACTTTCCAACATGTAAAGTATTACTGCTATTTCAAAGGTCTAGTATAGGTGTGCCTACTTGAGTCTATGTGTACAGAAGAGAGAAAAGTCTTTGAACATTTCATGGCTTGGTGGTAGAGAAGTAACAGGAGGTCCAGGGTCCAAAACCAAGTCAATGAGCTTGTGTCCTGTGACAGGCATTAATTCTCTTTACTATAAGTCCCTCAGAGAGAGCTTCAAGCTGTCTGTCCCCTGGTTGCGTAATATGCTTTCTTAGCAGTCAGGTAAAACAATCATCAACCATCAACCAATTGTTATTATTTATTTGACAAAATTGTATGCTCTTTCTTGTTAACCTTTCTCCTAGTAACATTTACTTTTATCTTTCAATTAATATCATTTTCCTTCTTGAGTGTCGTTTTCCTCTTATATCCTATTGCACTTCCCCTGTTTTAATAATATGATTTTATACTCCCAAATTCATTTTGATTTGGTTTGATGTGTATTTTGCTTCAGGCTCCATTCATAGCTGGTCAGCTGCATCACTGCATGTCTCACCTCGATACCTTCCTACCCATCTTACTGGGCTTCAATACTATACACATGATCAGAGATAGGACCATAGAGGGATGGGATCACACCCTTCTAACAGGTTCAGATTTTCTATCTATTCATACCTATTTTTTTTTCTCATTTTTTACGATTTTTTAAAACAATGTTTTAAAATTTTATGAGGACACCCTAGATGCAATAGATTCACATTCATATATTAGACCAACCCTGATTCTTAAATTTATCCTAGTGCTTACCAAGCCTGATAAATTTTGAAGAATATTTGTTTCTCCCCCCAAATGGATAGTCTCTTAGATCGAAGTAAATCCGGTTTAAAGTGGGAGGGGGGGGGGTGTGAGGTGCTGCTTTTGTCATGACTTGATTGAATGCCTCGCGCAAACCCTCAGATTTCTGAAACTTTTTAAAAATAAATAAATCGTTTTTTTTTTTAACTCTCACTATCACCCCTGCTGCTAACCCAAACCTGATTCTAATCCTATCCCTTATCCAAGTTCTAACCCTAACCCCCACCCTGATCTTAATCCTTACCCTAACCCAGATCATAATTCTAATCCTATAACCCTGATCCTAAGCCTAACTTAGTACTGATATATGGTGAAAAATTCAGCAGTTAAGTCTGTATTCAACTCCTGTTGAATTTTGTTAAATTTTCCACAAATTTTTGTTTTCAGTGTGCAGGATTCAGCTAGAGTGAAAATCACTGGAAACAGTGAATCATTGAATATTCAGTACTCAGTACTCAATGATGGTTATAACAAGTCCATAGTAGAATAAAGATGAATTATATTTCACTATGCTAATTTACTTTAAAACTGTCTTTTTAACAGTAAACCAAAAATTCAAAGGTATATGGTTTCATTCAAACTATGGTTTTGTAAATGCACTTTAACATTAAAATTTTGTATGTAATCACTTCTTCCTTTTTTTCATATTTTCTTTATAGTAACTAAACATTTGATGCTTCTGGAGAGTAGTGGCCAAGGTTATATTCTGAATCCAATTGTGGGGGTAGGTTTTATATTTCATAAGGTACAGTTTATATGAATGCTAGGTCAAGACCATTGTTATACAGTTGATAGAAATGCTTTCAATTGATAAGTTGCTTTCAATTTGCATAGCTCAAGTATTGCAACAGCAAAGTATTGTTCTCTTATTAGTATAATTAATTAGAATTGTGCATGCTGCCCTCAATTATGCATTGCATGTTTTGTTTTGTTCTTTCTGTAGGAATTTCTCAATATGAAACAGAAATGATAATGATCTCAGTGCCACATTGATGATAATAATATTTAAACATTTGTGTATATTTCAACACATACCCGGTAGGTATAATTGCATGTCTTTATGCGCTGGATCACACATATTTGTTATGTATTTTACTTTGAATTATAATGGAAAAATAAATGAAACGAAATGCATGGCGATAAGAGTTATTAAATGTAAACAAAATGAATTAAAATACCAACGTTAACAATACCAGCTTCAACATCTGCCCTGACCATATTAGCTCTTTGCTTTATTCGTCATTGATCTATTGTTGGGTTGCAAATTGGTGTTTGTTTTGGTTTCACATGAGAGCAAGCTATGTATTCTGTGGTTTGAGAGTTGAAACTAGAAATTCAAAGAGTGTATGACGTTGACAAAAAGAGGAAATACTGCTCCATCATGTGTTGAATTTAGAGTGTATTCATTAGGAAAATGCAATACACATGGTACATGAGTATTTTGAATTTAAAAAATCATAATTAGTATTATAATGAATATGAAGGAAAAAATATGTAAGAATAGACAATTGAAAATGTTCATTATTTGAAGTAAATGCAAATCTTCAGAAAATTTGTTACACGTCAGGTTGATTGTACAATTACAGGCCTGATAAAAACCTGATTTAAATTGGTTTCCCGATTTTTAAAAAAAATTTCTGATTTGTTTTCTTCCCGATATAACAACAAAACAAAAATCCAGATTTTTTTTTTTTTTTTTTTTTTTTTTTTTTTACCAATTTTTTTTTTCTTCCCTATTTTCCTGATTTTCCCGATTTCCCTCTTATTTTCTCTATTCTTCCCTATTTTGCCCTATTTTCCCCCCAATTTTCGTACTCGAAAGGGGGGAATGTTATTAGATGCCATTTTTTCCCCAAAATTCTCTTCTTTCTTTTTTTTACTCAAGGGCGGCATGGTTGAGGGGGAAAACAATAAACCTACTTTTTTTTTGGTGCTCACTATCACCCCTGAATTAGTAGAATATGTTTAATACATACTGTATCCTTACTGCTTCGTTTTAGCCGGAAGCCATTACAGGTTCTTCTAGGATGAAAGGGGGCGGAGCAACAAAGTTGATCCTAGAGACGTGTTTCCTTACTGCTCTTTCATATCTCAGCGTCTCCTCTGATCCCAAAGACAACGATGAGGTACGGTACCATTTTCTTTCAGTTCCGTACTCTTTGAATTCATTTTTAATGATAATAATTGTATTAGTGGAGTCTAGTATAGCAATCATGTCTGGCACAGCTGCCGTTATAGTGCTCAAGCATTTTCAAGAATTAATTCCTGCCAGGTACCCATTATACCTCACCTGGATGGAGTGTAGCAAACATAGACATAATGTCTTGTACAGTTCTGCAACGGGGATTTGAACCCCGCACCTTGTGGTTCACTAGAGAATTACCCACAGGACCGCAACACCTCTAATAAAACACAGATAAGTGAGTAGGCTCAGAAACTAAATTGTTGCATCCAGCAATTTTTTTTTTCTTCGTCCCCTCTTGTCAATCATTTACATGAAGTAAACAGTGGCATATGTCAACCGTTCTAAACCCTTGTTTGCACATTGCACAATAAAACTAAATTAATCGAAAGACCCTGCAGCAAAATTAAAATGACGTTTGCATGGTGCGCTCCACATTTTTGTATCTTTTAACACAAGGATAAGTACCGGTATTCATGACTCAGTGCATTTGATGCACATTGCTGCGTTTGCTTTCTCCCCTACATGGCACTCATTCTCATGTCAGAGTTTTTTTTTTTGCTGTTTATTTATTTTTATTTTTTAATTGCAGATTTATACTACCCGTATTGCATTTTTTCAATGATTACAAATTCAAGTTCAGCAAAATATTAACATTGATTGGAAGGCTGATTCACCATATAGCAATCATGGTGTCAATATGTGTGAGCCACTTTGGGGAAATTATGTACTGTATGCATGGGCAGATAAAAAGTCATTTGTACCAAAATTGTGATTCTAAATTTAAAACACATCGAGTAGACTGCTGGTTCATGAAAGTTATGTTATCATGCACAGGTGGTACATTTATGTTACACATGTGGAAGTATACTTTTCAAGAAGGCAAATAAAAGGTCTCTATGAAGCACCTTCATATCTTTGGCAGTCATTATTCTAAAATGCACAAAGTGAGAATTACCCATGTTGAAAGGATCTGTGGATATTTGGGGGTCCTATTTGTGCAATTACTATGTCCGAAGTGGCTTATTGGCATAAATATTCACGATTAAATGCTGAGCGCTGTTAATAAAATACAACAATCAACAACATGATTCAGCACTATTTCACTGGAAGCTTGTAATATTATGATACCTCGAGCTTCATATCAGTGATGATCAACGTTGACAATAATTTTATAGCATCTCAAGTTTTATTTGACACATTCTACATCAGATAAATGCAGACAAGGATGCAGCAAATGATTCCAGCAAACAAGAAAAACTGATCACCAGTCTCTTTGAGTGCTACAAACAGGTTTGGGAGACTTCTTATCCAACGTCCAAGGAACAACTCTCAAAGCTAATTGAACAAGCTGGAAAGAGGTGCGTGTCATAATAGTTAGAAGCTCATAGATTGTCTGATATGGGAGACGACATTTGGACACTGTCTCCATTGCCAGAATTGGTTAACACACTTGGGGGACAGTCTCCCATAGCTCACTCGTAAAATTTAGGAAGTGCCTCTGAGTCTCAGACTATGATGTACTTATAGTTGCAGAGGGGCCCTCATGTTTTAATATTTGTGTCTGTGTGTGTGCATTTCATCAAAAAAAGCACTCAGATAATAACAATTTAAAAGAGGCATTATCTTTTTTGACTACCGTATATCGACATTTGAAAAGAAAATAATAATCTACTTAATTTGTCACTTAAAGAAGCGTAAAAGAGATCTATGCACAATTATCTCACAATGTATTAAAACATCGTTTGACTGCCAGAGAACAGTGCATTAATATCTGGTGTTGTTTCTTTTTCTTTTTTCTTTTAGAATTTGTTATTCTGGTAGGGTCGGGCTTGCTTTCGTTACTACTTCGTCTTTCTCCGATATAAGTGTGCACCATCACTAAATCTACACGAATCACAACTTTTGGGTCACTTGAAAATGACATATTCACAGACAACTCACCCGTTTGTCCTGTTTTTGCACAAAAATATTATAAATTTCTGTTTCTTTCACACGCACCTTCTCCCTTGGGGCACTAATCAAATTATATTGTATTATTAAAGGTTCTCTAAACCGAAAATAGCCTCTTGTGTCATAGATTTTAACAAATTAAAATTTTAACCATTTAATGAGGTTGTTGGAACAAGTGGGAAAGTTGTCTGGCACCCTGTCATACTGATTTACCGATGTAGCCAATTTGAAGTGCCATGCGTATAGCGATTTTAAAGGGATCCGGTAACTTTGTCTCAGATTCTGAAATAAAATTCTGGATTTAGCTCATGATGCAATGATAATTATAAACCTTTAGGTCAGTCAGGAACCCCATGACTTTTACAAGCCGATCGCCTGTCTGATTATCAAGATATTTATGATTGGAATTACAAATTTTGAAAACCGTTCGCCTGACGGTTTTCATAACACTACAGTCTATTGGGGAAAACGAGTATGGTAAAACCGGTCACTCAAAGATTTTTACTTTTTTGAGGCACTTCTTGATCATTTTGAAGCGCAATTTTTTTAGGGCTTCAATATTACACCATATCACAGACACTGATAACACGTAGAGCCGTGTATCTCAGATTTAACAATGTTAAACGATCCCTTTAAAGATATTAAAGAAATGTGTAACTTTCTCACATTTTGTTCAAACTGTCACCAGTCTGCTTCTCTTTCTTTTAGAGTAGTTTAACACTAAGGTAGTACTTCCCTTTAACAATCTATGTTTTTCTTCACTTTTTTGTTGTTGTCTTTCTCCCGCACCTCCTAGCCTACTTGACAATGGTCATGTGTACTATGCTGGCTGGGATACCTGGGGTCTTCTAGGACTGATTGATGCCTCTGAGTGCCCTCCTACATTCGGATCTGGTAAGTAATGTAGAAAGTTGATTTTAAAGGGATTGTTCAACAATGTTAAATCTGAGATACACGGTCCTACATGTTACCAGTGTCTGTGCTATGGTGTAATATTGAAGCCCTAAAAAAATTGCGCTTCAAAATTATCAAGAAGTGCCTCAAAAAAGTAAAAATCTTTGAGTGACCGGTTTTACCATACTCGTTTTCCCCAATACACTGTAGTGTTATGAAAACCGTTCGGCGAACGGTTTTCAAAATTTGTAATTCCAATCATTAATATCTTGATAATCAGACAGGGGATCGGCTTGTAAAAGTCATGGAGTTCCTGACTGACCTAAAGGTTTATAATTATCATTGCAGCATGAGCTAAATCAAGGATTATTTCTTAAGGATCTAAGACAAAGTTACTGGTTCCCTTTAAATGGTGTATTACTCGGGGGAGGAGTGGGGGAAGAGGGGGGGGGGGGGGGAAGGGGGGGGGGGGGGGGGGGGGGGGGGGGGGGGGGGAGGGGGAGGGGGAGGGGGGAGGGGGGGGGGTAGGAGTCTGAATATACTGTGCATTGTATACTATTTATACTCAGGGTTCCCATGGTCATTGAGAAATAAATTCTTTTGGAGAGTCCACAAGTCATGGAAAAATCTAGAAAGTCCCAGAGTCCCTGGAAATTAATCATGGATGTGGGCTGTGTGTGGCTATGGCAGCCCTCAGTTTGAACTAACAATGGGCATGGTATCTGAGCACTGCTTGGATGCCGCAACCAATACCAAAATGGCATTTATCTGATTATGGAATAAAGCAAAAATGGCCGGGTCATGAAAAGTAGTGGTATTTGGTTCTCGAATTTTTGTTGGAACCCTGATACTGTTCATGGTATGGTGACTAATAATAATAATAAATTACAGTATTAATCTATATCAGCTTGCTTCAAATCCGACAAAGAACAGATTTACTTTACGATTAATACCATTTGCACAACTGATTGTTTCAGATATCGCAATTAATGAATTACTTAATCCAGATGTAGTATGTAGTATAAACGTTTGTGATTAAAATCATTTAATGTCAGATGTTTCTGGTCAACAGATTTTGATGATATCAGAGGGTTTTTGAAAGGAGGCCTTGCACCACTGGAGTCTTTCCCTCAGACTATGGTGAGATGCTCCGTTTTAACTTATTATTATTTTGCCATCTCAGATGTTAAAGGGACTGTTTCTTTTCAGTATGCCTTTGCTATATAGAATATGGGAATTCTCCTTGTAAACACAACTTTTTAAATGTTTTTATTACTGATTAAATACCTAAAGTAAAATAAAATTCCTTTGCTTTATGTATTACATATACATGTTTGTAACACCTACTTATAAAATATTGGAAAGGAAACTACACGACTGATCTCATAATGCTGCATGTTAGATGCAATGTTGACAAATGTTTTGAGAATCTGCGTTTCACAAAGCTAATTCTTCTCTCCCATACTGAAATTAAAGAACTTAACCCTTCCCCTACGGGAACTGGGTTATCCCTGTACTTAGCCAATGGAAATGACATATTTCAGTAGTCAAAGGGTTCAAGTGGGTGGGTCGGCAGTTTCCATGTGCAAAAGGTCGTAATTCGCTGACACCAGACTTAGTGGATATACCATTAATGTGTGTACAATTCTGCACACAGCAAAATCGTACTCAACTCAACAAATACCCCCATCGTCTCTCAGAGAGTCTTTGGGTGGTACAAATGTCAGATAAGGACTTTACCATATGGGGAAAAGACAAAGCGTTACGTAAAGCTTGTTATTTATGAAACTGAAGGCTAATCCAAAGGTGTCAAATTCTTCATGAGACTCCACATTTATGTGTCTTTAACTAAACATGTGATCTATGTTTGTTTTTATTTGAAGAACACTGCCGTAGGTCAGGACCCTTTAGAAGATGAAACATCTCTGGAATTCTTCAAGAAATCTGTCCTACCGTCCATCACTGCTAAAGATACCGTTGTATTCCTTGTGCCTTCAAATGGTAAGACCATTTTTATAGGCTTTGTTATTTGTATTTTAAAAAAAATGAATACTGATTGCTGCATGATGTTAATAAATATATTTTTTCAATCGGAGCAATTAGTAAAAAAAAAAGATTTAATGGAAAACATTTTTGTTGGAAGCTGGTATAAAATAAAGCTCATGAAAATCAGTGTAATTGATAAATGTGTAGCAAAAATTGATACATTTACTTTATAATCTATGTAATCACATAGAAGAAAAGGTATCATAGCCTTTCTCAGAAGTGACCAATATTTTTTTGCTCACCACATGAACTTTAGTATAAACATGAATAGATTTATTGTGTATTATATTTATGATGAGTACTGGACTCACGCAAGGCCATAGTGTCCTTTGTCAAACGAAAAGGATGTCAATTTTCTCAATGTATATATATATCTTCCTGAAAATAAGGATTTGAAAAATACATATAAAAGTAGGTATACTGCAGACCATAATAATAGTGTCATAGGATATTGAAACATAAATAAAAATAGGGTATTGAAAAATAAAAGTAAACCAAATGTAAAACCAATTCAAGACACTTTTATTCATATATTTCCCAGATGCAAATATTTACCATGAACTGAACATCCTACTGAAATCAGTGATGCAGAAAACTCAGCACATAGGCATGATCTCATCACCCCGTGGATGAAACACAACTTGACCTCAAAAGTTGCACTGTCGTTCCTCTCGGACACCTAAAAGAGGAGATGATCAACAAGATACAAGATGGCGGACTGGACAGTGAGCTTGGGAATGTAGTGGTGAAGAGTGTTAGTGAGTTAGCTCTGAAGTCGGCTCTCAATGCTATCAGTACCGGTGCTCACATCGCCAAAGGGAAGGTCTACCAGAACTTCATGGTTGACTTGAGACTCAGGTAAAATTAAAGATAACATTTTGCAATGTTGCAATGTTGCAATTTATGATTGCTGATGTAAAACGTATGAGGACTGTGTGCATATGCTATAGTCTACACACATAATAATAATAATAATAATATTTAATTTTTTATTTTTAAATGTCTCTAAGCGCTTTACAAATATACTATTACCCCGGTCATGATGTCTCTAAGTAAAGCGCTGAGTATTAATGTGCCGGGAGCAATCGATCAGGTTTGAAGTGTCATAGTGTAGGGGAGTATATAGGCGTAACCTAGCATTCCTTGCAGATATTTAAACTACAATTCACAAGAAATCATGGATAGCATACCACATGATCTTGCACGTACATGTTCAGTTAACAACCAAATTATTCATACCACTTCTAAATCTGATGTTTTTCTTGTATTTTGTAACTCAAGAAGGAAAGGTGGACTGGTTGAACTAGGGCCTTTGTTGAAGGGTATGGATTATTTAGTTATTAACTGTATATGTTTTGAGTTAAGAATGACATGAGACTATAATTAACATGTTTCTTTCCAATATCCTTTTTGCTACCAATCCTCAACATCATCTGTAAAGCAAAGTATATTTTGTCACTTAAAACATTCTTGTATGGCTTTATCTTGATCTATCTCCCAGTAATTCCAAGCTGCTGGAGAGAGGCATCGGGATCGTCTCAAGGTGCGCAGAGTGTTCCACAGAGATTGCCAGAGATGCTGTGATGAGAGCCATCTACCGTACTGATGACATTGCTTCCTTCAGAGACACGCCCGTCTCATCTATCATACAGACTGCTGGGAATGTAGAGAGGGTAAGTCTAGCCATCCTGAAGAATGATTAAGTCTCGTTCAGATATGATGCAGTAAACTATGGTGTCTTTTTTAAAGACCGTCAACACTACTGGGCCAGAAGGGATTAGAACACACAGCGAGGTCACTGACAGGTGGCTATCTCATTAACTCAGCTCTCAACTAACATAAGAAAAAGAGGATCATGGGGGACCAACAGGCACCGATTGGGGAAGTTTTCAATACAGAGGGAGCAAGTAGCTACAAGTAGGACAGTGGGAGCTTTAAACTATATGACACAAGTGTTATATTTTTCACATTTCTGTGTCTTAAACACAGAGCGCAGTGAATGCATGTTTTACGAAACAAAAATTAAACTTGGTTTTACCACTTCATATTTGAACAAGCTTTCAGGAAGACAAACATGTACATGTGGGTGTTTTTTTAATTAGAGACAGTGCTATATGTTTCACATTTCTGTGTCTTAAACACAGAGCGCAGTGATTTTGTGTAGAACTTTTGTTGCGCTTAGTTGCCATTCATTTGATTACGTGTTATACACACAAAAGTAGGCCACGGTTTATTGCTTCATATCTCCAAAAGCCTTTAGGAAAGATAAACATGGACATGTAGGCCCTGTTTTGAAGAAGGAACATTAGCACATTGCCTGATGAAATGCTTTTATATGGTGAATGACAAATTAGTACAATAATGATGATACTGTTGTTACTCGGTAGGCCATCTATTATTGTAGGGGATAAAAATAATGAAAATGTAATATTGATGATAATGATAATAATCTCAATAATGATGATGATATATGAAGGTGATGATAATACTAAAATATTAATCATGATATCAGCTGCCTGACAGCATAGAGTGTTCTTATTTTCTCCTCTCACTAGTCTAATCATCTTAAGGCCCGGTCCCACTGCACTGACGGATGCAAAGAGGATGTAAAACATAAACAAATATTGCCATCTGTTGGAAAACGCTATGCATACATGTTTCATACGCTCTATCAATCAAGCGTCCGTCCACTGTGATTTCATCCGTGCAAAAAGTTTTGAGCTGCACAAAACTTTTAGAACGAATGAACTTCCGCCGTGTACGATGTAAATCTGCGACAGATACGAGCAACAAACGTTCTATGTCCGTTATCATCCGTTAAACGTCCGCTGTATCCTCTCTGCATCCTCTGGGCATCCTCGCAACTCACATCCGCTGCAGCTGAAAACGGAAAGAGGGAGGAAAGATAAGGTACATGGAACGTCTATACATCGTTAGTAGCACGGAAATAGAGAGGATGTAAGCGTATGCATCTCGTATATAAAGTATTTAAAGCTGTCATCCACTTCCATCCGCTTTCATCCGCTAGGCTTCCGATGAACATCCGTTTAACATCCCCGCTACATACTACCCATGTCCGTTATTTTCCGTTCTGTTTTCTCAAATTTTCGCAAATTTTGTCCATTTCTGGAGTGGATGAAAACGGATGGAGCCACCCGCGAAATTTTGCTTCTCCACTGTTTCCTTTATGCATACGTTTTGTGTCCATCGGCCAGTGGGACCGGGCCATTACCCCGACCCCGCTCTCTCTCTATCTTTCTAATTTTTTTCTCTCTCTGTCTCTATGTCCATCCTTCATCCCTTCAGGTTGTACCCATAGCCATCATCCTTGCCATCAAAGGATGTACAGTGCGAGAGGCTCTGGATCACCAAGAGAGGGCGCCAGTCATCAGAACCTCACTCCTCAATCTCCTTCAACCTCCGTCAACAATAAGCTAAGCGTTTTTAATGTTGTTATGCATGTCAGCTCTATAAACAAGTACATGTAGAGTAGAAATGTTATCAATGATACAGATAAAAGTCTATACTAATATGACTATATAGTTTCTAATGGAGCTGTAACTACCCATGTAAAACGAAAATCGTTTAATGACTTGTGAGTTTGCAATATATTGATGGGGTGGAGAAAAAAAGTTTGTGCTACTGACAAGTCAATGCATGAGCTGCAAATGTATACAGAGACTTCATACACTCAAGTTGTAGTTAAGCAGTTTTTGATAGTGCCTGTCTTGAGGCAGTCATTATTTTTATAATGAATTGGTGACTTTAGAGGTCTGTTTCACATATAGTTGTGAAGAATAACCAAAAAGAATAACAGTAATCCCTCGTTCAGATATGATGCTGCAAAAATGTGGCGTTTTTTTTATGTGTCAGGTTGAATGCGCGTCTCCTTTATGTATGTTGAAACACAGAACCCAATGATATGCACAGCAGCTTTGATGCCTGCAGTTGCTAACCATTTACTCATAAAAAACTAAGGCAAGGTTTTTTGGGTAGGGTTACCCTGCAGATCTGAACGAGCCTCTGATGGTACAGTATTTCTTGTGTGGGAGATGTTACATATGCATAAGCATGTAGTTGCTTGCCAGTAATGTATAAAGTGATAAGATGATTTTTGTTCTTTTTCTTTTTTTTATGAATATGTATAAGTGTAACTTTATCATACTGGTGTGCAGTTCGATAATCAGGAAAGATTTCAACTATGCAGAATTTCATATCTGGTACAATAATGGCAGCTACCTCTGAATAGTTTGATAGATTATGTATTCAGAAAATGCAGAAAAAATACTTTTTTATCACAATTTAGAAGTAAGAAATATTTTGATATATTATGATTCATGCCTTATTGTTCTGAAAATGCAAATGATGAATGCATTGTAATCAAAGTGCAATACAAAATGAGTTTTTATCTGCCATTCCAAGTTTCACAATCGTCCTTTCTGATCAAGTGCTTGCTACAGTACACGCCCGAAATCTCTGCAACACATTTATACGATTAAAAATGTACACCATTCAATTGCTGGTGTAACAATTTTTTTGTACACCATTCGTCTTTTGCCAATTAAGCGAAATCTGAATCGTGTAATCGTGGCATCGATTGCGTAGTTCATGACAATGATACTGTATTGTTATGTTTTCAATAAACACAGACCATAATGAAATGTAGAGGTGTCGTGGACGAGTGGATATGTCACCGGACTGTGGATCACAAAGTCCGCGGTTCAAGTCCCACCGCGGCACTAATGTCCTTTGGCAAGATATTGACCTACATTTGCCACTCTCCACCCAGGTGTGAAATGGGTACCCAGTAGGCTGCGAAAGCTAATGTGCTTAGATTAGCAAGTGTGCGCTTGTAAAAATGACGCCTGGCTGGAATGCTCCCCAGGGAGTGGAGAATGTGCATACATTGTGTGCGGGTAAGCCTGAATCCGATGACCGGGGTAATGATATTTATATATCTGTAAAGCGCTTTGAGATGGCCTTCGGTCCTGAAAAGCGCTATACAAGAACTAGCTATTATTATTATTATTATTAATGTGTAAGAAACCATCTCCTGTCGGCAATTAAATGTTTTGATTGCAGGATTAATAAAAGCTTGTCATTGTTCTTAACTCCTCTGCCCCAAAGAGAAACTAAGCACACAAATGGGTCTTTAATCCTGTAAATTTACATGATTACAAGGTTACACGTTTGTTGCATCAGGTTAAATCATCCAACCAATGCACTTAACTATTTACACAATTCAGAGCGACAGCCTTTAATCTCTGTATGGAACTCATTACTTGCCCATGCTGTAGGAAACATTTCAGATAGAGTTCTTCAAAGTTTCCTGTGCAGTATACTTGGATGACTCCTTGATGTAACACTATTTTTTTTTTTTGCTTTCATTTTATGTTTGTAGTAGATTGTTCCTTTGTATTTCCTGTTTTGTAATCATTATTGTAGTTATTCTGAGATGCAATGAACTACTTGATTGGGCTGCCAGAGCTCACAGTGAGAGTCTGCTTTTTCAGCAATTTTTTGCAAGATGTTTGATGATGCTAAATTGTTCACATTTTGTAATTTATATCTGGAAGTGCTTGTGTTTCTCATGTGGATTGGGTGCTTGGAAAACAAAGGCTGGGGTAAATTAATTAGTGAAAATTTAATACTTTTAAGACGTTTGGGGAAAATTTGTCCAAATTATTTCCGTCAATTTTAAATTGTGCAAAAAGTCAAAACAGTGTGATAGAAATGACAAGTTTGTTTAAAGGTAAAGACCAGTATTGGAAACGCCCCAATTTCAAAAACTGAAATGGAAGCTCTCATTACCAATCATGTGAAAGAATATGTTTTGACTAACACATGATGATAAAAATTTGCCGGGAAACCGCCTACTAATTCATATATTTGGTAAATTTGTTTCTCTCATCGTCTGTGAGAGATATAGGGTAGTCCCATATACCTCTTTCTGTGTATAGTGCTTGTAACTTTACGAAGAATGGGCCAAATTTCTAATCATTTTGATGATTCCAGAACCTTGCAGATGCTAGATGCTAGATGATCAACCTTTTCTGATCGATTCCACAACGTTTCTTTCACAATGCAATCGCATGACCATAACTGGTCTTTACCTTTAAAGCTTATCTGCCATAGTTTACAGGAGGGATTAGACTGCCCTGCAAGGTCACTGGACAGGTGGTTATCTCATCAACTCGGCTCTCAGTTAACATAAGAAAAAGAGGATCATGGGGGACCAATGGTCACCGATTAGGCATTGTTTGTTATATAGAGGGCGCAAGTAGCTACAAGTAGTGCAGTGGGCCTTTAATAGTTATTGACATGTTTTACATGTTTGGCAGTTATTATTGATTACCCAAGTAACCATTATAATAAAGCATTATTATATACATTTTCCAATTGAATATTCAACAACAAAAATATTATTAGTAGGCTGTAGTTTTTCTATGCTAATGTTTATATACACATGCACGTATGGAACGAATTACCTGCTTTTCTAAGAAATGGTACTTCATGCGAATTCTTTTAATGAAACATAACTTGTTAATTTGTCTTTAGGCTATCCTCTGCAAATTGCGCTATACCACTCTAGTTATTATAATTTTGATATTATTTCATAATTCTATGTACAACTGTAAATGGAGAAGTATTATATCGCAAATAGAAAGTTTCAGTAATTTTATACAAGAATGCCATTATTATACTATAATTCTATAGTGATTATATTGTTTGACTCCTAATAGTAAAAATGGCAGATATAGACATTATTTCAGTACTTAACTGCAATAATGTCAGATATTGACAAAATATATTTTAATATTTTTGTTTACTGTGCACCATAGATTTATATAGTGTAACTTATCATTTATATATTTCATGACTAAATGTTATGCTATTTTTAAATGTGACTGACTCAAATTTGTATTCTAGATAATTAAATAAATCAAATCATGCCTATTTCTGTATTACATATTTGTTTTTATATGAGTTATAATGGGAAGCTTACAAGTTACAAAATTGTTTGTAAAGGAGTTTTCAGATGTACATGTACATCTACATGCATTTCTATTCTTATGTTTACAATTAGCTTCTTGCAGAAGACCAGAAAGCTTCAAAGCATTTAATTACAAAAATAAGAAATTATTCGTCATACTCAAGAGTTACTTTTAAAGGCTTGTTCTGAATGGGCCTTTAAGATATAAAGGTTTTCTGCAAGTTTAGTTAGAGAATGTGAAGAAAAATGGACAATGAGAAAAGTTTGGACATGAGTGACGTGTGCTTGTGTTGTGCTTGATTGCCTAAAATTATAAGATGAAAAATCCAGTGCTGGCGTCTCTTTAGTATGATGACAAACGTAGTGTTTGAGAGAGGGAGTGGGGAGGGAGGGAGAGAGAGGGAGGGAGCGAGAGAGAGAGAGAGAGGGGGGGGGGAATTAAATCATGTTGCAGGTAGAAAATGACAGTACAACAACTGACAAAATCGGGCTGCTCAATATTCAACTCATTTAAAAGACATGATTGATAACTTTATTAATACATAATCATATGAAAAAGTTAAAAGATATTTTCATTTCGCGATCACAAATTATAGCAACGAATATATATATGCCCTTAGATCAAGTTGCTCATATTGTTATCATCTTCGTGGTTGGCATTTAGTTTATATTTTGTATTGACACGGCATCATCGTCGTATCCTTGAAACGGCATACGGCATCATCCTCGTCTCCGTGAGGTGATTCAATGTTTAGACTTCAACATCCTCCTCGTCACCCTCCTCGTCATCGTCAATTGCCATCTCTTCATCGGGCACCTTGGTGTACTTCTTGGACTTGTCGCCTGAGCTACTTAGGGCCGTCGTCGAGAAGGAAGAGAGAGAGAGAGAGAGAGAGAGAGAGAGAGAGGGGGGGGGGGGGGAGGGAGAGAGAGAGAGTGAGAGAAAGAAAGAAAGAAAGAAAGAAAGAAAGAAAGGAAGAGAGAAATTGGACAGGGAGCATCAAGAAAGAATAATGAGGGTAATAGGAGCAAATAAATCGAGATGGGGGAGTGGGGAGAAAAGAAGGATTTATTCATGTCGTCATGACCACGATAATTATCTGAAGACTTGGAGAGTAAAGAAAAAAGAGTATAGAAAAAAGAGGAGGAGGAGGACTCAAGGGGAGGAGGAGGAGGAAAGAAGAATGAGAAGAAGAAGAAGAAGAGGAGGAGGAAAGAAGAAGAAGAAGAAGAAGAAGAAGAAGAAGAAAAAGAAAAATAATAATAATAAGAAGAAGATGATGAAGAAGAAGAAGAAGAAGAAGAAGAAGAAGAAGAAGAAGAAGAAGATGATGATGATGATGAAAGAAGATGAAGAAGAAGAAGAAGAAGAAGAAGAAGAAGAAGAAGAAGAAGAAGATGAAGAAGAAGAAGAAGAAGAAGAAGAAGAAGAAGAAGAAGAAGAAGATGAAGAAGAAGAAGAAGAAGAAGAAGAAGAAGAAGAAGAAGAAGAAGAAGAAGAAGATGATGAAGAAGAAGAAGAAGAAGAAGAAGAAGAAGAAGAAGAAGAAGAAGAAAGAAGAAGAAGAAGAAGAAAAGAAGAAGAGTAAAGTTCTAACTGCAACTTTAAATTATTACACTTTTCAATCGTCATCGAGGGAAGTAGGATTTGTACACATTTAGTTAAAAACAAAAATCATAATTAATGCAAAATCGCTTCGCTGTAAAAATGTATTGTATATAGTCCTGTCATGATCAACATATGTTTTTTTTTTATTGTTCTCAAGATTGGTAAAAAAACTATTGGGTTATAATAAGGTAAATATGTATACCATGACTTCGTTGCGATGGTAAAACAACCAAACACGATGAGAAGAACAAGAGTAGCACCAGCGGAGACGATCCATGGAAACGGGATGCCAGAAACACTGCCTGATTCTGTCGATAGAAGTAACGGTCAAAGATGATATATCAGGGCCCAGTTTTAAAAAAACTTTTTATCA